ACAGACTCAACATCTGAGACCTGTCGTCTTTTAAGGAGCCATGATCGTTCAACAACAGAAGACCACGAGTGAGAAAAAGAAGCTCCTTCCCGTAGCCCATTATAATAATGTCATACCAAAGTAGAGAACTTTCTATTCTTTCATTTTCACTCTCTCTTCACAAACAGTCAGTCAGACTCTGCAGTCTGGAAAAGGACTGACCTTTTATTCCCATTATCACCCGTTATTTACATCATCTTATGACACAATATGATGAAGAACAAAAAACCCGACATGGTGCATTCAAATAACATTTGTGTGAGCAGATTAAATTACAACGATAAACTCCAGAGGAGGTTTAGAGAGTTTGCTGAAGGAGACGCCGCTCATTGCTAAAGACAGGAACCAGCTATATTTAATACAAATCTTGTTAAGTGTTTGAGAAGGATTCTCCATAGGCAGCTGTTCCAAATATTTTAAACCCCCATCAATCACACACACACACACACACACACACACCTTGTATGTCCTCTTTCAAACCCAGTCACACACACATGGAAAATCACATTGAGCTACTATCGCTGCAGCAGATGATCGGTCACAGAGCTTTTGATGAGCAGAGCTTCTTCTGGTTTATTTTCTCTTCCCCCTAATTATCATTAATCACTATTAAATGGCACATTTCGCCCACATCTGCACCATGGAGTCCCAGCGGTGGATCTTCAATTAAAATCACATCAGAACATCACTGCATGGCTTGTTCTGAAAAAAACAGATATTCATATGACTAAATAAGAAAGCTAACTAAATTACCACAGCATTAACACAGATGATGATGGTTTCTCGTGCTTTGGCAGTGGTCTGTCCTGCCAGTAAGACACCTGAGTGAAACCAGGCGGGTGGGTAGCTCCTTGTGCATAATCATACTGTGGTCGGTGTGAAAGCAGGCCTTGTCTGTTTGTTAGTTTTATGGATCTACACTCCAGTTAATCTGAAGGAGGAAGGACAGATGGCTGGAAGTTGAGATTGAGAGTGTCATTTCCAGCCCAGCGCTTTTAAACCCCCTCTCACCGTTAACGGCGAACACCTCTCTTCCACTATCGACTTGCTGTCTTCATATTTCCCTGCCCCACGGGCCGGGCCAGCCATTATGCCATAAAGAGACTGTCATGACCCCCCCCCCCCCCAACAACCCGACACACAAACAAATACTCTCTCACACACACTCCTGAGAGCACGAGCCAGCCAAGCAGTAGTGACCCTTCACACCCACTTCAGTGTCGTCTCAAGCCCCCCACCCCCCCAGTGTGGCTTCTCGTCCAGGTTAACTGACTGCACCCTGAGAGCTTGTGGCAGTGACACACTGAAGAGACATTAGTGTGATAATATTGGTCCAGAGCTTTTCCACCAAGACCAGCATTAAACTGTGATGGTTTCCATCAGAGACCCTTCAGAAAATGAACTAATTTAAATGTTCACAACAGGATCAAAGCTGTGAAAAGATACACAAGAACATTAAAACCATAAAGATGGACATCGCCTCGGACGTCGGATTGTTGCAAGCATACACTCACCCACCTGTCACTCAAAGAGGCCACGCCCTCAATCCTCCATAACTTTAGTCCTTAATAAAATGTAAACAGGTGAGTTTTATAAACTGGTGTCATGAAGGAGGAAATTAGCTCTAGAGACCAAAACAGTTTCTGTACCAGGCTGTAAACATGTTGATTTCTGCTGTAAAGTTTTAACATGGGAGTCTATGGGGACTGACTCACTGTTGGAGCCAGACTCTAGTGGCCATTAGAGGAACTGCAGTTCTTTGGATTTATATATTGGCTTCATCTTTCTTCCTCGGAGGTTGATGCTTGGTTGCTACTTAAATTGTCTTAAACTGCAGCTTCTGGTTCTTCAGTGTTGATGCTTCATGTTTCAGCCCTGGAGGTTGACGCTGGGTTAAAGTCACTGAAAGGTGAAGTCATTAACATCTCAATACAATGGCAACTGTCAAGGGATGATATCCCACCCCCTGGCAACCGTCATTGCCATGGTTACTATAATAGCTGTCATGGCTTGGTTAGGTTTAGGAAAAGATCATGATTTGGGTTAAAACGCTCTTTTTGACACTTTTCCCTTTGCTCCTGTCATCATTACTACGACCACTAGATGTCGCCTAGCAACAAAACGTAACTATGGGTCATAATAACCTGCTGGGCTCATTTTTTACAGGACAGTCTCCACAATCAATTTTCTCAACAAAGAAAGAGCTGAATAAAGATCTCAACTCACTCTTTGAGTTTCAGTTTCTAATTTCACTTACAAATATTGAAAGATGAACCGGAGCAGATTTGATGAGGGATTTGAATTTGATGAGCAGTTTCAGCTCTGGATTCCTATTCGATGAAGTGCTATTGAACCCCAACCCTAATTTGTTCTAACTCTGAAGAATCTCTCACACCGTATTATGTGTTCTGTCTGCAGCTCTGTCATCATCACAATCTGCCCAGTGGTGTTGGAAACAGAGTGACAGACTGTACCTGTTAGACGTGTTTCTGTATTCAGTCGTTAGCATGAGTCTGCTTGAACAGAGGGAAGCTGTGTCTAATTACACCCTCTGTTTTCTCCCTTCTTTCTCTCTGCATCCCCCTCTTTTTCTTCTCCATTTGGCAGACGTTCTCACTTTATTATGGCCCACGCTGGCCTTTTATTGCCCACCAGCAGCAAACTTTGTGCAATTTGTCATTGAGGGATGTGTGGATGAGTTCTTTTGGCTGCCTCTGCTGCTCTCACCTAAAAATCTAATCAGATCAGCGTAGGGCCCTAATCACTTCCTCTCTCGCCTTGATTGCATTTATAGACGTTCTGTCGCTCTGCGCTCCCCCAATCGAGCATTTCATAATTGCTCTCCTCTTGCATTTGTTTATTTATATCTGCCAGTACAGTTGGTGCCAGGCTTTTCTGCCAATGAGCGAGGATGAGAAGTTTATGGAGGTGGGGAGAGAAAGACTGAGAGCCTCTGGGAAGGATCTCAAAATCATTACCACGCCTTTGTGCTCGAAATAAGCGCTTTACCGCCTTTATATTCAAAGCAGATCGTTGTGTACTTAAATACAGACATACTACAGCCTAAAGGCATTAAATTAGGAGCTTTATATAGCGTTATAGTGGTATGGCTGTAAGTTTTGCCAATTTAGGTCAAGAGAAGTTGATATTTTGGCGACTCAGCTGGAGCGCTGCGGTTATACTGAGTGAACAGTATTGACAAGGAAATCTTTCCTTTCCCTATTTTTTTCAGGCTTATTGGTGAAATAGCCACTAGGACACACTAGTCCATTACTGTCCAGACTCTCTTAATCTGACAATGCATGAAGGTACGCCCGCACTGTAAGTGGGAGTTTACACGGAGAATGGCCTTGCGATTTTGTGTCCGACAGTTTTTGCAGTTTTCCTACTGTGCAGAAGAGAAAGTGAATTTCTCTCTTTAACTCTCTTTTCAATATTTGAATGCTCTTGAGGAGAAACTGTCCAAAAGTGTCACAGTTTGCCCAGACGCTTTTTGTTTGAACACTTTTGGACTTCGGACTCTTTTGGACACTTTATGTTTGATTGTTTTGGATTTGATTTATTTCCTGTTTTATTTTGAAAGTACTTCCCTTGTGCGTCTCATGTTAGTTACTTCCTGTCTTTGTGTTGTTTCCCTCCTTGTTAATTATCTTAATGTCTTCCACCTGTGTTCTATTACCCTGGCCTTCCTTGTGTACTTAAGTCTCTGTCTTCCCCTTCGTCTTCGTCTTTGTCTGTTTTACTTTCCTACTCCTGTTTTTCCTCCGTGTTCTTCCAGTGTTTTCTTGTGGACTTCTGTTTGCCTTCGTGTTTGCCCTGCTCCGCTGTTTCCTAACTGTTTCCTGTTTTTTTTTTTTATTCCTTGTTTTGTAAGTTTCTGGGGTTTTTTTGCGATTAAACATTATTTTCCACCGACCCCCTTTTTTGGTTGTCTGCATTTTGGGTCCAACTATCGTGACAAAAAGTCTGTGCTGTTATCCCCATATCTTTGATTTGTCAAGTGGCATCACCAGGGAAGATACAAAGAGTCTGCTGATTTCTGTGGGTCAAAGACTTCAGGTCGTCGTTGACTGCTAAGGCTAAGGCTTGGTACTTTAATGTAGTATACATTAGGAAAAAACTGTGTAACTGTCCAGAAACTTAATATCTGGGCTGACATACTTCAGCCTTCATAGAGTGGCCTTGGGGTTAAGGCACAATCTAAAAACCACAACGTCCCCAGACACTGTCACTCTCCGTCTCGATGTCCCTTCTTTTCCTGTCATCTCTCAACTGTTAACTTGCTAATAAAGACACAAAATGGCCACAGAAACAAACCATAAAAACACATGTTCCCGACGGATCCATCTCTGAACTCCCCGTCTCTGCGCTCTTTGTCAGAACAGGTTTTAAAACCACTTTTACAGGTGGGACGTTGAGCCGTGCCTCCTGCCCACGTCCAAACATCATTAAAAAGCAGGAATATTGAACAGCTGGAGTGGATGAAGCATCTGTGTCAGTGAAACATTAACCTCATGCTGGGAGATGGTTTATCCTCTCTCACCTCAGCCTGTGAGAGCCGGCTGGCCTTGGATCAAATGATGACAGCATCCCTGCCTTTTTATCTCCCTTATTACTTACTATCCACATCTACAGCGAGTATAAAATGTTCCCGAACACCAAGTCTTTCCATTAAACTGACTGTCTCTGAGAATCCATGGGAGAGATTTGATCCCATATCGATTTTCCCTTTTAAATCATCTGACATGTAGCGGCGAGGAAGGATTTAGCAGAATGAGGGATTCTTGACACAAGGCAACCGAGATATAGATTTTCTAGAAGGGTGTTCAACTCCACTATTTCTAATTTGTACTCAGCGCGGAGATCAGCCTTGTGTCTCACTCTCACAGTGTTTAAATTGTCAGATTGTGATTTTCTGTCAGTAAAATCTCTACATGTCCCTTTCTGTGTGTGTGTTCCAGGTTCAGCTGATCCACTACAATCATGAGCTGTACACAAATTACACAGAAGCTGCTAAAAGCCCCAATGGACTGGTCATAGTGTCCATATTCATGAAGGTAAGTCTACATACATGTGTTTCATAACTGCCTGTGTGCAAATATGTAAGTTTTATCCACTGACAAGAATTGAATTTTATCTTGACATGCCCCAGCAGCTGCTATGACGACATTTTTTGTAACAGCTTATACACTGGAGAGAGCAGCAGAATACTAATCACTGCATCGGACAAGAGTTTTCTGTGTTCCTCTACAGTTTAATCAGACTTTAAAAGCGTCAGCAGACAGCTATGGTATACAACACACAGATGGAACGTGTAGGGAAAAACAAAACAGGGCTTAACATCATGTTCAGCGCAGACAAGACTCAATTAAAGGTGAACCAAGCGTTCATTCAAGTGTAGAAACACTGTGTTTTCCCTCTTAATTTCAGTCCCTCTCAAGCTGTAAACAACGTCTGCAGCAGCGTTTAGCTTTAAATTATTAACTCTTTGATGCAATGTTTGTCTGGACTTGCAACCTGCATCTGACACGGAATCATAAATCAGTCAAACGTGACACACACACACACACACACACACACACACACACACACACACTCTGAGAAGTCATAAGAAAATCCCACCTCCAGAAGATCAAATTGAATTGCTTCAGTAAAATAATCCAAATGATTGTTGTCTGCAGGTGTAGCCTGTAGCTAAGTGGCTGACTCCATGGCAACATAACACCTTTACATGAGCCAGGGTATGATGGGAGGCCTGGTGGCAGAATCCCAAATCATACTCATTCCAGAGGGAAGTAAGAAAATGGAGAAAAAAATAATGGGCCTTTTCTTCACATCAGACATTTTGACTTGGCATGATGGGAAAAGCACAGGTGTTAGCAATAACGCTAACAAGAGGAATGTCCACTGAGGCATCTAAATGGAATTCAGACATTCAGTTACTATTTATTATTATTTTCACCTGTGTTTTTCCTACTGTGACATTAACTAACCTGTAGGAGAGACAAAGTACATGGAGATTTACACATTCATAGAAAGTCTGACTCCTGAAACATGGCCATGAATAGTTTTTATTTATGATTTTTATTTACTTATGAAAAAAGTTTTTGCCTTTAAATTCTCCTCCGTTCACCTGGGCTTAGTTTTTCAGGTACTTGGCAGGTATGTTGATCCAGCACAGTTCTTCTGTGGAGTCAGTCTCTCTTCATGTAATCCCAGACTGACTCCATGATGCTGAGATCAGGGATCCTTAAGGGCCAGACCATCTGTTGCAGGAGTCTGAAGATCTTTCTTTGTGACTGTATGTTCGGGCTCGTCATCCTGGGACTGATCAGATTGTTTTGTGCCATGGAGAAGAGTCTGTGAGCAAGAATGAGCCTCTGAAAAGAATCTGTGGTCTTGATTACACTAATAAAACTAATAAAACAGAAGACTGAGGCACGTCTTAAAGCTCCTCCAGTGTAAAGGTCTGTGTCCATGTGTAGTGTGATTATAGATCAGGTCTAGCTTCTATATTAATACTGTGAAAGTATCAAAGCCTCAGTCCACAGAGAAATGCACACAGCCTGTATTCAGAAACTGAGCCTTAAAACCAGCCGTCAGGACTTCTGGAACTTTGTGATGTCACAACAAAGCAGTCACCAAGCCCCGCCCACCTGGACCCACCATCCAAACCTTGCAGGATTTGGTTTCTCTGAGTGTTTTTACCTGAAATCTGAGATATTTTTATTGGATCACTCAGAAAACAGTCAGCCAATCAGAAGAGAGGCTCAGAGCCTCCTCTCTTCTGATTGGCTCACTGACCTGTTGTTACTAGAGCTCCAGAGAGAAGCCTGAGAGAGGAGATGTAAAACTTATGAATCAACACTTCAAATTAAATACAGAAGAAGAAGAAAATATGGAGCTTTAAAAACTTGTATTCAGCCAAAGAAAAAAACAGTTGTATTACTCAAAAGACTTTTAGTGAATGTTGGATTAAATATAAAAACTCGCACCAGTCACATGCACAAATGCTGTAGCCTCACTTATATATGGCCGAACCAAGACATTAATAACTGTGCCATATGCCTGAAAATGAGGGGAGAGGAAACAGAGAGTGAGGTAGAATTAAATTATGCTAAATATGAATGGGATTTGGTGCATGATGCAATAGATTGTCAAAGTCATTGTATCATGGATGAGAGGCAGAGGATAGGGTCGGTATCTGTGTCAGTATTCAGCAGACACATATTGGTTTAAAGAAATCTGTCAGAAGTTCAATTCGCTCCCTCTCGTCCACTCTCCTGCTCCCTCTGTGTCTTTCATTGAAACTCTCTAAATGTTAAACTCAAGAACTCACGACTCACAAACAATTAGCAATCCAATTATCCTGCAGAGCCAAAACAATGTGCTCCTTGGCTTTGTGTCAGAGCCGAGCAGCAGTGCAAGGGGTGGTGTTAGAGCTCCCCTGTCTCTTTGTTGTGTATGAGAGGTTTCCATCTTGAACGAGAGGCTCAGAGATCAGAGAGGCAGCCAGCATCCTCAGCGCCGTGCGCACCAAGGCTGAAAAGTTCAGCTGCTAACTGCTAATTAGCTCCCCAATGTCAATGGGACCATCATTTAGTCTTGAAGAGACAGAGGAGACGCTGACCTAGGTCAACCCTCCTCGATTCCCCCATCCAACCAGCAGGAGAGTGTGTGGGAGGAGATGTGAGAGAGGAGCTGGGCTCTGGAAGTGGAAGTATGTGATGGCCTGAGGAAACGGCCTCGTCTGCAGCTCCACACGGACGTCAGCTGTACCTGCCAGAGACAAAACCTGTATTATAATGATATTAAACGACACGTCTTGCTGTTCTGTAATCTATTCATTGCATCTTAGAGGTGCTGCACATTTAATGACAACACAATAGAGTAGCAAAGTTTCAAAATAAGATTCCAAAAGCCAGTTACAGAAATAAAAGCCCATTTCATTTGTTGACTGTTGTAGCACTTTCACGGATTTAACATTAAATTAATCTTCCAGTCATCAGCCTTTGTTATAAACCTTTGTTTGTAAAGCCTTTAAAGCTCCATGTTTCCTCTTCTTCTGTGTTTTATTTGAAGTGTTGATCCATCAGAAGATATAAAAACCATCTCAGTGTACTGTAACAGGTCGGTGAGCCAATCAGAGGAGAGGAGGCTCTATATGTCAACTTTTAAACTAGTCCCAATCAGAAAGCAGGGCTGCTACAGATACTGGTTTCCAGTCCCGTCTATATGAGACCTACCTTTGTTCCATTTTCCCATGTTGGTCTTACCTGACGTCATTTAACAGCCACGAGTCTTTGACCTGTGATTTTGAAGTTTCTGATTAGTAATAGTGCTTGTAAAACTGTCTGATGCGGTTTTAAGATTTATAGAATTATATTAAAAAGGGTCCCATCATTTCACAGCACCATGTTGATCTATTTTTGTTAAGCTTTCGATAAATACTGCAGCACGACCTTCAGTAAAAGTCCGGGAAAGACAATTTTGTTAATGCCTACATGTCAAAAAAAAAAAGTTTCAATATCCAAAGAGATGAGCCACAAAAAAAAAAGTCACGCTCACACACGTCTGTTCACCTGCCACCCACTCACACACCCACCCACCTGCACTCCAACTGTTCCCTTCTTCTTCTCCTCCTTCTTCATCGCTAATGTCTCCCACTGTCTTGAGCGTGTTTCACGAGGTCAGCCTCTTCAGTAGTAGCGCCGAGCAGACAGGTGGTAATTAGCCACATCTCTCTCAGAGCAGCGGCTCTTTGTTTCTCACCTTTCACTGACTCACGCTTTCCAATACCTCCTCAAATTTCCGATCTCATCGCCGTGACTCAGAACGCCGGGCCGGGCCGGGCCGGGCCGGGAGGCGCCACTGAGGGTGAGTGGAGCTACGCTGGGACCTCTGTGAAAACATTACTCTCACTAATGCTCCATTTGTTGCACTAAGTGTTGATTGATGTAACGGCGAGGAACATGTGGAGCTTCAAGATGTGTCTCGTGGTTATCGTGTGTCTGATCGACACTCGGCCATATGCTGCTGAGTCTGTACCTCGCTCCTCCCTCGTGTGAGGACATTCCTGAAGCAGAAGAGACGGCATGACTGAATCCCCTCAGGTGCTTTTCCAGGAAAGACGATGAAAATGAGAGAGACAGAAAGTAGGAAAACTAGTGAGCAGCTTGGAGTGTCTGGTAAAGGCAAAGTAATTTCAGTTGCAGGGAGGGGAAGGGAGGGGAGGGGAGGAGGAGGGGGGAGGACAACCACATCTCTTTTTAATCACTTGGCCCAGAGACATCTCGACAGTTAGAGTTGTGAAGTCCACAGAGCACGAGTGAGGGGCAGAGGGGAGAGAGAAGGGCACCGAGTGTGAGGTGCCTCCTTCACACTATTAAGAGAGCACGTCTCGGAGTAGCGGGAACCGATCCGTGCTCCTCGGACTTGGCCGAACAATGGAGTTAGTCAAGCGGAGTGGAGTCAGGAATTAAAAGGGGCTCGCCTGCTTTTTGTTGCAGAGGTGCAAGTTACGGGTCAAGTTTCAGTCGATTTTCTCACCAGAATCTGACTTTGAAGGAAGATGACAAACTCTATCCATTCATCAGTGGTGCTTCCTTGTGACAGCTTTTATATTATACATCAGTTTCTTACCATTGATATTCCGCCCTTTAATATAGTATCGCATCTAAAAGGAGTGTTGACTCTACATATATTATTTATGTGTTCATGTGTTTCCTGCCAATAAGGTACAATAACCTCAGAAAATATAGAAATGATTGGCCTCATTTATACCACACACACTCCCTGATATTGCTTTTGCAAGGGCGCCATAAAAACTACAATATTTTTCTAACAGAATTCTTGTGTTCTGAACAAAAATATAAATAATATGAATAAACACTTTTGTTTTTACCCACATTCATCATGACTTCAAAGGCTTTCTCTAAGCACACAAAAGAAACACGAGATCCTGAGGCTCATTACCCATCTGCCACCACGGCCCCATGTTGCAGCATGATGTACACAATTCCTGGACGCTTGCGTATCCAATATCCAGCAACTTTCGACACACAGTCAACAACCTGATCGACTCTGTACAGAGATGTGTCACGAGGCGAATGGTGCTCGCAGCAGATACTGACACTTTAGATGAGTATCTGCAGACAAAGACAGTTCAGTAGTAAGTAGTAAATAAAACTACACATCTTGAAGTGGCCCCACACTGTGAAACAAACATGCTTCAGTTGTTTATACAGCACAGTCACAATGTTTTCACTGAAAGCAGATAAATGACTAGTAACAGTTACCAGTTACATCTGCAAATTACAGCTTCAGTGAGTTATGAGCTCAGTACTGATGAAATGTCTCTTTAGTTATAGAAACACACAGTAACGACTGTGATATATCATGTTTATCAAAACATGCTGCCCTTCTTGCTTATTCATTTTCCTTTTGAGCATTAGATCAGAAGAACTGGACTGATGTCATGTTAGCACAGAGATGGATGGGATTAGCTTAGCGTAAAGACTGGAAGCTAAAGTTAAAAAATATCCACACTCATACCTGTAACCTCATTAACTGACATGTTATATCTTGTTTTTACGAAAATGAGAAATGAAAACAAAAATTTGTTGTTACGTGCTTAAACTATTTAGCTATGCTAACCATATCCGGACTCCAGCTACATATGTAGCATACAACATGAACATGATGTCAGTCTTCTCATGTAAGTCTCTGAAATATGAATTTAATGTGCAGATAATTGTTCCCATGTACTGTTACATTACTGTGTCCTGCAGGGGAGAGGCAATACGGAGCTTAACGTTCTCACATTCAAGCAAAATCCACAATAGATTCTGTTAGGACAAAAATACAGTGTATTGGCTATTTAAAAGAGATGGATTATGTTTTGTGGTGGCAGCAGAGTGTGCCTGTGAGCTGTTTTTAATGGTTTCTTAAAAACAGTGGGAGCCTTTGTTTTCCAGAAGGCAAAGCAGCAGCAGAAGAGAGTGTAGGAGCTTCTGACTGAGCAAAATACATCAGTGGGTTTAGACATTTCATTGGCTTTAAAGGTGATAGATGAAAAAAAATACACTGGCGTTATCCTTTCAAGTGCTGGGCTCAATAGATAAAGTGTAGTTTAATTTTGAACAGGCTGTCGTTTCATTACATGGTCAGTCCTCTAACCTCAACCTCTTTCTCTCTTTCTTTCTGTCTTTTGATCCAGATTGCTGAGACGTCGAACTCATTCCTGAACCGAATGCTGAACAGAGACACCATCACAAGAATAACGTATAAAAGTAAGTGGCTGTGCAGTAATATAATTAGGGGCTTAAAGCAGCGACGGTTGAAGTGACGGCTACGGCGCGTGTATACATTTCAACGTGCTGGCGTTGTAGTTTAAATAAAACATCGCTAGGCAACATTTAACTTTAACAGCGGCTTCTTCACTGCTTCAGGAAACTGAGGTGGCTCTGAATATTGCTGCAATACGTCTCTTAAAATGGCAGAGAGCTCTTCGCCTACAGAAAAAACACATGAATTTCACATGTGCAGAATCACATGTGGGCACATGCACATGTGATTTTTGCAAATATTTGCTTCAGAGACAATTTAATATCAGGAGGGAGGAGTTTGTATAAATCCATGAGCACTTCAGCACCACGGACAGCGTCGTGGCTGTGGGCTGGAGAGGGAGGGTGGAGGTTAACAACAGTTTGTTAACAAGGAGAACGAGTTGTCCCAGGTAAACAGAGAGCATCCTCACCTGTTGATGGTCCTTGTAGAAGAAACAAATAAACAATATTGTTGTTGTGCTGCAGTGTTAAGTTAATTAACTCACCCTAGTATTATAATTAAGGAAAACTGCTGCTTAGCTTTACACACCTGAACGAGCAAAGCAGAAGTTATTCAAGCTTTATTATTCTGTAAAACTAAAACAGTTTTTATGGAGGACCACAAGTGTCACGGAAATAGTAAGAAAGCATTTCATTAATTAATAAGTAATTGTACAATAACAGTAGTTATAAATAAATGTGTTTACATATGTGTTTATTATAAATGAATAGACTAAATTACAAAGTAATTAATCATTTGAAAAACAGGACTTATAAAAAGAATTTAAAAATGAAATAACAATCCATCAATAAATAGTTCAAATTAAAAGGGGATTTACAAAAATAAAAAATAAAATACATTAATGAATTCATAATGAAACTCTATTTGAAGAAACAGTTTTAAAATATAAATAAATTTAATTAAGAACACAGATTTGAATCAGGCATTTAAAAGGGTAATTTCCCTTTCCATTCTCGTTTCCATTTTCCTTCTGTTTTTCTTTTTCCTGTTAGCTATTCTATTGCTTATTCATTTAGCTTCTCCTATTACCCTCTCCATGACACTTTGGGCCTTGTGCTGGTAAAACAAGATAAAATGATGCTAATTATCCACGGGATGTAACCAGCTCTCTGATTAGTTAGAGAGCCTTATATTGTATAGCCTTATATATATCTTTTCCAACACTGTTTAGGCGCCAAGAAAAGCCCTTTTATGAAGATATGTTTATTGCCTGTGCCAGGACATTTTAGTTTTGGCTTTCAGTCTCTTCAAATGTCAAACCTTGATATAACGAGAATTTTAAAGGGACATTGCCAGTGAAAGGGAGAGTGTCCACCAGTGGAGATACCCTGATCGTCTCCTTCCCACAGGTGATTGCCAATCAGAGAGCTTGTTACGTCCCATGACTAATTAGCATTGTTTTACCAGCACAAGGCCCAAAGTGTCATGGAAAGGCTAAATGCAGAGGCTAAAAGGAGAAGCTAAATGACCAAGCAAATCGAGTTGCTAATAGGAAACAGAAAAAGCGGCGAGGAAATGGAAATGCAAATGGGGAAGGAAATTAGCCTTTTAAATGCCTGATTAAAATCTGTATTCTAAATTCAATTTGTGAATCCAGTTGTTTATTTCTCCTTTTAAACTGCATTTTTAAATTCCATTATTTATTTATGAAATCACTGATGTATTTTTAAATAATGTTTTATGTTGGTTTTTGTGAACACCTTTTTAATTTGAGTTATTTATTGATGGATACATTTTTCATTTGTAAATTCTTTTTATAATTCCTCTTTTTATTACCCATTAGAAATATCAAATAATTAAATACTTTAGTTATAATTAAATTTGTAAACAAATTCATTCATTCCTATTTTTAAACTTAGTTATGAATAACAAATTTAAGAAATGCTTTATTAGTATTTCTCTGAAAGTTGAGGCCCTCTGTAGATTTAAACCTCTGACGTTACAAATGACTGAAGCAGCTGACCCTGGACAGTAACAGGTTACTACTGTAGGTAGTTAGCTGCTAGACATGCTAACGTTTGTAGCTTATGGTAGAGCAGACAAACACACAGTTTAATCTGTTCTTTACACTTTTGTTCCTGTTTGGTTTTGAAAAAGAAAATAAAAAAACAATGTTTTCCAAACTCTTTATGACCTTACTGTTCATATATCTTTATTTTAGTTATATATATTTCTACATACTACATCTCTCGTATACCGCAGTCCCATACAGACTGCTTGAACATCCAGAAATCCAAAGCTTGCCTCGTTCTGGTTGCGTAGCTATGATTGGACAAGTGCTGTTTGAGGAAGGGGTTTATCAAAGTGTTTATTTTTTACATAAATACTTGAGTTTTTGGATCTCATTATCATTATTTCATCTCAGAGTGGTAATTGGAGGGATGCTGCAGGAAGGGGATGATGAGAACTCTTGATAGTTGGAGGATGGCTGTTGGTGAGGAAGCATGTTATGCAGCAGTCGACAGCTGCTCTCCAGAGGTTTCCCTCTGCCAGCCTGCCATGCTGGAGAGGCGGCAGCGGCACAGAGATCGCCCGGGGCTAGCTTGAAAAAAGAGACAAATAATTGGATTAATGGGGGGGAGCAGTAAGTGGCTGGATAAACACACTGACCCCTTGTGACTGGGAGGAGTCTCAGTGGCACCGAGCAGAGCAAGAGGCTGCAGGCGAGGGGGCAGGTGGGGAGGGGGAGGCAAGCATGGGGGTGGGGGAGGGGGGAGGGGGGTTTCCTCCAGGTCCATGGATTTTGACAGCTTTCGAAATTGCCTCAGATACAGCGTCACACACGTGCACATGCAGGTACACGCCACCACCGCACATGCTTATGAGTCCTTAAGCATTTCCCTCTCTGCTAGCCTAGCGCACTTTTTTCCTGTGCACACACACACACACACACACACACACACACACACACACACACACACACACACACACACATACACCATCTAGAGAGTATAATTTGAAGGATGAGTGATGGATCTGCTCTTCCTCCGCTGTAGGTGGAGTGGTAACAGCACATCCAGGATCACAGAAGCTTTTTATGGAGATTTTCTCAAATTAATCCAGTCATGCTTGTTTTTTAATAAATTAATATCCTTTTGAGGAACGCTGTTTACAAAAGGCAGTTTGTAACAGCGATGCAGAACTAGCACCAGAATTAGCATTAAAGCTGCAGCGGTCCACCACAGTGACTCATCAAAACGCACAGTCCACCTGTCAGCAGAGGCCCGACAGATGACGAGTCACTGAGAGCATGCTACTGGAGTGTGGAGAGAGAGGGAGGGAGAGAGGGAGGGAGAGAGGGAGAGAGAGAGAGGGAGAGGGAGGGAGAGAGAGAGAGAGAGGGAGAGGGAGAGGGAGGGAGAGAGAGAGAGAGAGGGAGAGGGAGAGGGAGGGAGAGAGAGAGAGAGAGGGAGAGGGAGAGGGAGGGAGAGAGAGAGAGAGAGGGAGAGGGAGAGGGAGGGAGAGAGAGAGAGAGAGGGAGAGGGAGAGGGAGGGAGAGAGAGAGAGAGAGGGAGAGGGAGAGGGAGGGAGAGAGAGAGAGAGAGGGAGAGGGAGAGGGAGGGAGAGAGAGAGAGAGAGGGAGAGGGAGAGGGAGGGAGAGAGAGAGAGAGAGGGAGAGGGAGAGGGAGGGAGAGAGAGAGAGAGAGGGAGAGGGAGAGGGAGGGAGAGAGAGAGAGAGAGGGAGAGGGAGAGGGAGGGAGAGAGAGAGAGAGAGGGAGAGGGAGAGGGAGGGAGAGAGAGAGAGAGAGGGAGAGGGAGAGGGAGGGAGAGAGAGAGAGAGAGGGAGAGGGAGAGGGAGGGAGAGAGAGAGAGAGAGGGAGAGGGAGAGGGAGGGAGAGAGAGAGAGAGAGGGAGAGGGAGAGGGAGGGAGAGAGAGAGAGAGAGGGAGAGGGAGAGGGAGGGAGAGAGAGAGAGAGAGGGAGAGGGAGAGGGAGGGAGAGAGAGAGAGAGAGGGAGAGGGAGAGGGAGGGAGAGAGAGAGAGAGAGGGAGAGGGAGAGGGAGGGAGAGAGAGAGAGAGAGGGAGAGGGAGAGGGAGGGAGAGAGAGAGAGAGAGGGAGAGGGAGAGGGAGGGAGAGAGAGAGAGAGAGGGAGAGGGAGAGGGAGGGAGAGAGAGAGAGAGAGGGAGAGGGAGAGGGAGGGAGAGAGAGAGAGAGAGGGAGAGGGAGGGAGAGAGAGAGGGAGGGAGAGAGAGAGGGAGAGTTGCAGTCTGTGTAATTAGTGTCCTGACAGTGGAGACAGTTTGGATGAAAGAGGTTTTGTCATTTACACTAAAAAGCACTAAATGTGAAATGAGAAGCAACTTGAGGTTAGTGTGAGATGAGTGGAGAACAAACCCAGTGTTTAGTGCCGAGACGCAGGAACTTTATCTCTGACGTGACTCTTTATTTGCCAGTACGCTTTACTCTCTTTCATTTCATTGGAGCAGACACAGACTGGGGGGTAGTTCTGTCCACTATGTTAAGATTCATCCATTCACCATCCAAGAACGTCAGTCATTCAGGTAATCACAGCATTTCTCTCAAGACAAATCTGCAGAAGAATTTTCCAAATCGATACCGACTGAAACCCGTGTTGATTTCCAGTTGGGCCAAGAGTCTCTCAGCAGACACACACATTCAGACACAGTGCTCCTTTAACACACACACGTAACGGCAGAGGAGCTGGAGGAGCCGGGAATCAAACCACCGACCTTCTGATTGGTGGACAACCTGCTCTGCCTCCTGACTCTCACCCTGATTGTGCAATATTGACTTATTGACACTTTGCAGAATTGATACGGTGAATGTTGAGCCTCTTCACAGACCCAGCAGACACAGAGCAACATTAACATCCATCTGCAGTTTGAATATGTCTGATAATCCCTCTCCTTTTAGCTCTGATGTCGTCTCCACCGACTCCTGAGGGAGCGGCTGCAAAATGTTCAACTATGTTCAACCAGTTAGTTGCTAACTTTGTCTGTAAACCAGAGGGGAGCTGCAGGGTCAGGTGATCATTCTCTGTGGGTTTGAGTTGCTAAGGTGATTGCCTCCCTTTCAATGAGTTTAGATTTTCTGTAACAAATGTTTTGAACATCTGAAGGATTTAAAAATCAGGTGCATTCATGAGCGTGGTGCTGTGTGTGCAGTGTGACAGTGACAGTGTTTCTGTTGTTGTTTCACTTCATGTCTCTTCAGGTCTGTAAAGATCCTTCAAATCAGAACAGTCCAATAACGAGAAATCCCTCGTTGCTTGAAGATAATCCTTTTAGTAATCTGATGACTGATTCACTGCTTTTTGTTCCTGCTGATTCCAACTTCCATACTTGACCCGAGTTGCTCTCGTCCTGCAGACGACGCCTACCTGCTGACCGGCCTGAACATAGAGGAGATTTACCCGGAGACGAATAGTTTCATCACATACGACGGTTCGATGACCATCCCTCCGTGCTTTGAGACGGCCACGTGGATCCTGATGAACAAGCCGGTGTACCTCACACGTATGCAGGTGAGCCTCAGCTGCCGACCCACACCTGAGACACAACACTCCCAGAATTCAGTGAGGATTGTCTGTGTCAGCTGAGGAATTTCTCTGCCGTGGAGTTGAAGTATTGTTCAGCCCGGCACCGAAACTTTCTCAGCTCTCCCTCTGTCTAATCCTCTGTACCGTCTGCCTGGAAAATAATGCAGTGGATCAGAAATGCCTGGCTCACATTTCCATGATGCTTTTGCCAACTTTTCTTCTCAATGGCTTCTTTTCTTCCTCTGTTCCTCCCCGTCTCTGTCTCCATCTCAGATGCACTCCCTGCGCCTGCTGAGCCAGAACCAGCCGTCTCAGATCTTCCTCAGCATGAGCGACAACGTTCGCCCGGTCCAGCCGCTCAACAACCGCTGCATCCGCACCAACATCAACTTCAGCATGCAGGGGAAAGACTGCCCCAACAACAGGGCCCAGAAGCTGCAGTACCGAGGTACAAACACGTCCTGGTTCCCGCCGCTGCCACGTTATCACTCCGCCTCCATCTCTGACATTCACCATGCAAATACCATGACCAGAACATAGTGAGCTAATATCATAGTAATACCAACGAGAGTATAGCTCCTCCTCGTTAGCTTGTTACTACTGAGTTTCAGTGTAAAGTGCTGTGGAGCTCCAAAATAAAGGCACATGGCAACTAAAGATGATCAGTCAGTCAAAACTAAATCAGTCACCAGGGGAAAGAGTTCAAGTAAAATTACTTTTGTAAAAATGTAGATGGATAAAAGTACAAAGATAACCATAATGTGATAAAACATCTATATAACACCTGGCTAAGAGTAATGCGGTCTAATACAACAGGTCTGCAGGTGTAATATTATTAATTGTCATTGTTATATCAGTGATATAATATGAATGGAAATGCACGGCACGAGAGGCTTTAGCCTCTCCTCTCTTTAGAGGTGTTAATTTATTAAACGCAGACGTTTAGCGAATCCCTGCAGCTACTTGAACTTCTGACCAGCAACTGACAAGATGTAGTTTTTGGTCAGTGGCTGCGACGTTTCATTATTCACTGAACTCTCAGCTTCAGGGGAACGTTGCTCCTGAATGCCCCTGATTTTAATTTGTTTTAGAAACGACATCCACTTAAAGTCCAGGGGATTATTGCTTGATCTGGTCTCGCCATCATAATTAATAAACTTAATATCAAATGTGAGCGTTGAGCCGGGACCGGGCTGAAAAAACAGACTGCAGATTGATGCGTTGAAGAGACGGAGTCAGATGGCAGGACAGGCAGAACACCTGTTTGGCTCTGACTGACTGAACTGGCTGAAAACTGGCTTGTCACAGCTCAGTGCAACCTGGGAGGTGTCGCTGCAGTCTGTTTGTCATCTCCTCCACTCTTGTCTCAGCCAATATATCTGCTGCACACAATGTTGAATCTCACCCCTGAAGTGTAAATACTGTGGAAGGCGAGAGGCAGCACCAGTTCCCGCGTCTCATCCTCTTATTTTTGTCATGTTTTGCTCAGGGTTTGCTGTACTGTGGCCGACACACATCATGATTGTCTTTTCTGTTTCTATCTCTCTCCGGTTCTTTCTCTTTTCGCTCTACTCCACCCGCTCCACCCCCCCTCGTGCTGAAATGATGAAATTCGTATTCTGTGCAGCAGTCGTGGGGAGATTTGAACCAGGGGCGGAGCCAGACCTTGTAAACATCCGCCCCATCTTGAGTCTATATTCAGGGGACATGCACAGCAGCTACATGCACGATTTTTTCACACCATTTGTAAATCCTTTGGGGGAAAACATGAGCCTGAATCATGTTTCCCGCCACATAAGAAGAGGCACCAATGGTCTGCTCTTCCTGCTCCTACATCAAGTAAATGTCTTCACTACTCTGAGCAGGAGAACATTTACTCTGAGATTAATCTGTCCCCGGAAACATCAGGGAAGAAAATATAAAACAAAAAGAGTTTTAATAATTCTGATCATAAACTGAAGCTGTAGAAATATTAAATGCACCTCTGCTCATTTCATCTCCTGTCTCTCTTCCTCTTCACCTGCCGTCACCTCCTCCTCTTCTGCTTCAGTCTAACTTTCTTCTCTCGTCATCGGGCCACGACCTACAAACGGCGATGTTTCTCCAGTAGCTAAAACAGCTCCATTGATCTGCCCGTCCAGTCAGAGCGCCCGAGGGGAAATGACACCAAGTTGAAGTTTTATTATAAACTTTGTAAAAGATTGGAGGCTTCTGGGAAAACATCCCTCATCCTCCTCGCACCCTCCTGATCGCCAAACAAACAAACTCCAGAGACTCGGAGCAAAACAAAAAAACAAAAGCAGAACTGTTTGTTTAGTTGTTTGGAGATTTAAAGGCCTTCGTGTTGAAGTGGGGGGGGGGGGAGAGGGGGCGGGTAGGTAGCGGTGCTCTCCATTAAAAGGGGAAATAGGTCTCTTTGGTGATTTGTGTAAGGTCAACCTTTTAAAGTGCGAGCAACAACACGCACCCCTCCCCTCCCCCCCAGGAGAGGTGATCACCGGGGTAACTGAATGTGGAATCAGGGCAGTGTGTGTGTGTGTGTGTGTGTGTGTGTGTGTGTGTGTGTGTGTGTGAGAGTGTGTGTGTGTGTGTGTATGTGTGTGTGTGTTTGTTTTACTCTGATCACCTGATGAGAGGAAACATGTTTAAATTCCTTCTTTCTCATGAGCGCGAGACTCTTCTTTATCAAATTACAATGTTTATTCACGCGCCCTTTTTTTATTTTTTATTTTTTTTATAAATTTCTGTCAAGGCTGCCACTCAAAACATAATGGCACCCCCCCACCCATCAACCTCCTCTCTCTCCCACCCTCCCCAATCACCTACCACCACATACCCATGCACATTCATTCCATTCACCCGAGAGCCATTCGTTTTTAAATTGTATGTTATCGCTATAAGATGAAATATGGTGTGTGTGTGTGTGTGTGGGGGTGTGTGTGTGTGTGTGGGGGTGAATATGCTGGAGAATAGTTGAGCTGTGGAGGAGCACTGCATATATAAATCAGTATTCTCACTCCTGTCCTTCTCCTCTCTTCCAGTGAACGAGTGGTTGCTAAAGTAAGCCTCCCTTGGATGAGCATGGAGACGAGTGTCAGAGATAGAGAGCGGGAGGAGGAGAAGGAAGGAGGAAGGAGGATGGAGAAGGGAAGGATGTGAACCCGGGCTTTAAGGCTGCATCTCATCTAAGATTACTTCATGGCATTGTAAAAAGACAAACAACACCAAGACATTATCCGAGCGAAGGAGCAGAGAGACTCTTCTTTTCATACATGCTGAACTGTGTGAACCCTTGATCTGACACATCTAACACGAGTCCTTTCCCCCACTGCACAACTATATCTATACGGACATTTTGATACCAATACTTTTTTTGGGAGAAAACAAAAAAAAAAAAAGACACTTGGAAACAATTAAAAAAAACAAACAAAAAAATAAAAACCATGTGGAAGCGTTTATTTGAAAGCTTCCCGACCCACAGGACAACGTTGGGACTTTAAAGCCTTTGTACATAAAGATGTTGCGATCAGTGGGAAAATCCAAGGACTTGAGTCACTGCCCCCCCCCCCCCCCCCCTCCCGCCGCCCCGCCCCTCCGCCCCGCCCCCTCCCACCAAGACCAAGTGGTCAACAAGTCTCACACGGACGTTTCATTAACAGTCACCAACAAGGCATGCAATCAGCAAAACCAACAGAGGGAACACAGCCTTACCTTGTCATTGTCCCCAAACCCCGGAGTCACGTCACGGGAGACGAGTCAGATATTTACAGGCTTTCTTAACGGCCTCTCAGAGCAACCAGTGTCTTGGCCTCGTTTGTACATATTATAATTATCAATAACTGCAGAAAAATTAATATGTTAAGAAAAGTAATGAATTAAACATTCAAAAGATATATTAAAGAGGATTTTAAAAAAGAAGAAGAAGAAGTTGAGAATTTTAAAAAGCTTGGCGCACTTTGAATTCTGGAGCAGTTCTCGGTTCGAACTGATGCCTTTTTTCTGTTTTATTGTTTACAATGGTCATACACTGTGTTTGAGTAATGTTATCAGCCCAATAAATGTGTCTGGAAAGTTCACTTTGGAAAATGCTTCACTATAGGAGGATCTAACTTATTGTACCTGTACCTGTTTTGTACCGTTCCAATATTAAATGTGTTGATATGTCAATATCACCCCCTCAGAGAGCATGCTCAATAACGGGGAGGGCGCTCGCGGTGGCGTTCTCCTCACTGAGGCTTTCTCTGCTTTGTTTCCGTGATACCGCCGAAGCTTATCAGCCGAGCACAGAGGACGCTCTGTCGGGGGTTACCGTGACTTGTCATAGTCTTTTAAATCACATCAGCAGTCATCAGGGGACAGAGAGGAGAGGAACCTCCTGTGCTGATGGAGGTACACACCGAACAACATGGCCTCAGTCCAGCGGCGGATTCTCTACAGGGAGCGGAGGGAGAGCGTCACCGGGTCCTCACGGCGGGTCCTCACAGCGGGTTTACCAGGTGGTTATCTGAGGTCGAGCCGATGAAACCGGGGATGGTTGTAACATGTTTGACATTTGTGTCTGTGTCTTTTAAGCCAGCGCGTTCAAAATGTGTTAAAACCAGTTACACGTGTTTATTTAATGTTGTAGGTGAAATATTACAGGTCACCCCACAGTAATGACAAAACCTTCATACTGAAGCTTTTTATTCAAGACTTAAATAATAATAATAATAATAATAAACTTTATTTGTATAGCATTAAAGATATTAATGTTAAATTACAGAAATAATCAATTAAATAAATAAATGATTAAAATAAGTAAAAAAAATTACATTAAAAGGATGAAATCAGTAAGACATCAATACTAGCATTTAAAAAAACTAAACTTTTTACCGTGTGTGTGTGTGTGTGTGTGTTTTAACAGCTAAAACATTAGCACTGACAACTTGCATGAACAACATCTACATAGACACGATAAATATGGTTTAAGTTTGAAGAGTTGAACAGAGCAGACTGATATTACTGACACGGAGCTACTTCCTCACAGGTGGAATGAAGACTAAACGGAGCATGTGCAGAGTGAAAACAGGTGATTTCTGATTGAACAAGTGTTACAACCATCCTCAGTGTCCTCTACCTGAGCAGGTACACAACAGCAGGGAACGACATGTGACACAATAATGAGCTGAAGTGAGACCAGAACCAGCTGGGTAAAAGAAAACCTGCGTTTATACTGATAAATAATAAAAATCCATCCTCCATGGAAACCACTGTTCTGTGGTTCATCAAGTATCTTTTTTTTTTTTTTTTTTTTTTTTTTGGGCATTTTGTGCCTTTAATGGACGGGACAGTAGAGAGACAGGAAATGGGGAGGCAGAGAGAGGGAATGACACGCAGGAAAGGGCCGTCTGAAGCGGGAGTCGAGCCGGGGGCCAGCTGCAGCGAGGACTGGAGCCTCTATATATGAGGCGCCTGCGTCACCCACTGAGCTACGCGACGCCCCACCAAGTATCCAAGTCAGGATAGTCCATCTTCTGTTTGTGGCTCATTGCTTCATGCTGTTTCTTTTCTATAGGTTTTGTTTTTATACTCAACATCTTTACCGATGTGTTTTCTTCATTACGCCGTATCTCTCATATGTCGATGAAAAACCTCACGTCTGTTCATCATGTAGGACGTGAAAACATCAGGTTAATCCAGGAAACACCTGAGCTTTATCAAGTATCTATCATCTGTCATCTAGATTTCCTCACAGTCAGAGAAAGAAAACACTCTCCAGGGTTGTGATGCTGGGTGTGGTGGAGCTAACCCTCGACTTCCATCACAGTATCGTGGTTCGGTTTATAAAGTTTACAGCCTGTAGCTACTGCGTTGCTCTGTGTACATATGTATAGATAGATAGATAGATAGATAGATAGATAGGTAGATACTTTATTTATCCCCTCCAGCGGGAACCTCTCTGTTCTGCAGTGAGATGAGACGTTTGCAGCTGTAGCTGCTTCTCTGTCCTGCAGAGGGTGGGTGGTGTTGTCTAAGATGGCCTCCATCTTACATTGCATGCGTCTCTCAGGCTATACAGGTATAAATAACAACCTCTCTTCACCATCAGGATGCTGAAGTGACTGGGCTGTTTTATACCACCACCAGTCCAACACCAAAACTACTGCAAGCTGTGAAAATGTAAAGCTGCAGCACTTGTCAAGGTTATTTTGTGATATTTTGCACGTAGGTCGTAACTGAAATAAAAGCAGGTAGAGAGGTTGTAAACCTGCAGCGTGCAGTAACTTGTTCTTTGGTTGTAAACTGAAGAGAGCCCAAGCTGCAGACGCAGAAGCGAGTCCAGATCATGATAGCCTCTGAATCCAGACTGGCCTTGTGTTAGGTGAAGCACCCAGCCCTGTGTCGTCTGTTTCTGTCGACAGGGTCCCGCTGCATCGATCCCTCTCTCCCGCCCTCCTTCATTATCTCCCAATCAATTGAGGATGCCTCTTCTTGTAGCCCTGATGTGCAGAGAAATACTGCCTCCAAGCATGTGGGAGTGCGTGTGCACAGGTACTTTTTCTGTTTGCTATCTGATCTGTGCCCTTTTTTTTTTTTTTTACAGATCTGTAATGAAAAGATAGCAGGGGGGGGGGGGGGGGCTTTGGGGGGGGTTCTCAGAGGCCACCAGTGCCCAAGGTTATGGAGGCCATTATTCTACCTGATGTAGGAGACGCAGGATTGAGCCAAAGCTGGAGGACGGATAATAAATACACCAAATGATTCAATGCCCCAGCCCTCCCAAACCCCCCCTCTCACCCCCAATCCCCCCACCCCTCCCACCCCCCCACTCCACCACATCCCCTACAAATAATCAGTTCTACACTCGTGACTGCACCGTAGATCTCGCCGGACTCGACCGCTATCTGGCCCTGCCAAAAGGAATGAATGTTATGAGGTGTGTATAAATTGCTGCACTCAGATGTTCGGGGGGGGACATTTAATGACATTACATTAATAAGAGCATAATAAGGCGGTGGCATGCAGGGAGCCGGAGTGGAGCGGAACAGCTGCTGAGCCAAATCGAAAATGTGCAAATCTCCATATGTGTGTTGACTCCTGAGACACACCTGTCCAGATGTGTGCAGCAGTGGGGCTTTCAATCAGCCGTGCTGCAGAAGAGAGAAACTTTTCTCTCTGATTCAATGAGGGCGACACTGGAGTCAAACCCCTGGGAAACAAGTGCGTTTGATATCAATTACACAAAGTTATTTTTTTTATAACTCTCACTTATTGAGGAAGAGAGACAGAAAAGACGGAACGCCACAGTCGGCTGGGTGCGTGCTCACTTTTCAAAATCTTATTTCTGTCCTCTCCATATTTCAGTTCTAGCTTGACCACGCCCACCTCCACCAATTCATCTCCCCCGTGTTGATGTGATATTATATATGTTATACACAACTAAACTGCAACAGCAAATGTGTTTTGTAGAAAACACAGTCGTGACAGGGTTTTAATTTCTGAGGTATTTGTCACACACTACATATGTTGATCTTGTAGTACGATATCCATCTGTAGAGACTGCAGCATTATTGAGATGTTATGGTAACATGTAGGCACCCACAACACAACTGGTCTACATTAATACAAAAACTAGAACCACCTCCTCGTGGTCGTATCCCTCCGCCACTCAGACCAGTTTCAGGTTACATCCCTGTTTATCCAGAGTCACAGAAAATATGAACCATCTGTTTGAAATTTTGTTGAAATTTTGCTGTGTGACGTCTCGAGTAATGGCTAAAAAGTGTTTTCTGAGTACACCGTGACCTTTGACCTTTGACCACCAAAGTTTAATCAGTTCATCCTTTAGTCCAAGAGAAAGTTTTTGCAAAATTTGAGGAGATTCATTTGAGGTGAGAGATATCGTGTTGACAAGGCCACGCCGCTCCAGCTTTGGCTGTCAGTGACTTCAGACACAACATGTTTATTTCCTTTATGCTTTTGTTGCCTGAACCACAGACGGGCGTGTGGATGTGAACCCTGGTCTCTTTGTGCACCATCCATTCACCCAAACCTGCTACTAATGAATGCAGTGCTTCATTCTCCCTTTCCTACAAAACAATATCTGCTGTTGCAGTAATTTCCAGGAGCCAGGGTTGTTATTAGGGTTAAAACATCACTAACTTATTACTACATTCCTCAGGTGCAGTGTTTGTTTATCCTCGGCCGTAAAGCTGAAGTAAAACCTCAGAGAAAACCGTTCTTTATGACCAAGAGGACCAGGATCCAGACAGCTGCTATCACTTAGAAAAAGTGCTTATACATTATGCACATGTGCAGAACAATACTTAACAAGATAAATATCTTCTGTTTAGAAGTTTTTCATTTCAAAACTTACTTGTATAATTAGATATCAGGCATGTTGAAATTACTTACCAGTGAACTGCGATACTGTTTAGAAGAGGATGATATTGAAGCTATGATTGTAGAAATTGTCCCACTCAGAATGATGATGATGATCTACATAATCTACTGATTCCAGAGCTCCATCCTCCTCTGAGGTGTCTA